CTACTGAAGTAGGCTTGTACTTTTTGTTTCAGATTATATTATTTAAGACCCATTTGTAAAACCACATGTACAACATGTTTCTTATACTTAGGTTTAATTAAATGAAAAAATATATATGGTATTCCCCATTTGTCATTTATTTACATTTTGCTTAAAAGGTCTRAATTTCTACAGCAAATAAACAGTAGCAGAAACAAATCCAACAAARCCTCAGATAAGTGTTAGACTCTTCACCACATTAGTGGCTGTGAATTAAATTTATGGTGCAAAATATTTATTTTAACAGCATCAGCTGTAAACACATACCTGAATGCTTCAAAAGTCAGAGTGAAGTGACTTTACAAAATGATAGTGTTGCAAGCAAACTGAAAATAACTTAAAAAGCAGCCAAAGCCAAAGGGAAAAAAAGATTTTCAGAAAGTCTGGAGAAATGTTTACCATTTGTGTTTTTTTTTTGTTTGTTTGTTTTTTTGTTTTTTGTTTTTTGTTTTGGTGGGGGGGGGTGGTTGTTAAGAGAGGCAATTTTTGTTCTTTTCTGCTCATTTGGATCATTAAATAAAACCTTTTTAAATTACAAAAAATAAAACTTTGAATAAAAATATTATATTTTTCAAAGGAGAAAGCTACTGTTCTTACTATATTATTCTGAGCATGAATTCTAAAGCAGAGGAAAAACTGTCTAAAATATTATTGTGTAAAAGAATATTACACAATATTATATTGTTCTTTATTTGTTAATATTTGTTTCAAAGTGTCTGTGACAATCACATACTTCAAATACAAAAAGTCAAAGAAAACAGCTTTATATTCAAGAAATATGGCATAAAACACATGATTTTACCCATTTTATCACATAACTGGCATTTATTTTTTAAATTTGTCTCAGCCAAAGTAGAACAGGAAGTGACATCAAAGGGGAACTCAAAAAAATGAACTGCTTGGTCTTTGTTGAAACGATGTTATTTGAATCATTTTTTATCTCTCTCTGATAGTGGTTTAAATAGTTTTAAGAAACATCAGATTCTTCTCAACAGCCTGTGTTGTTAACCCTTCAATACTCTGTTCCTGTTCAGACATTCACCTTTGACATCACTTCCTGTTACTGCACATGCAAATATCTCAACAACTGTTCATCTCAGGGACAAAAAATGGTTTTTTTTTTTCAAAATATCATCAGTGTTTTCTTTCCAAAATTGCACTCACATTTATTACAAAAATTTGATGTCACAGGCACTTTAAATACCTATGGCCTTAGTTTGTATAGTAGATTTGTCCACCACTGCCTAAAACCATGCAGTAAATGGTAAATGGTACTGAACTTATAGAGYGCTTTTCAAGTCCCTCCGGACCCCCAAAGCGCTTTACACTAACAGACATTCACCCATTCACACTCACATTCACACACTGATGATGGCAAACTACACTGTAGCCACAGCTGCCCTGGGGCGCACTGACAGAGGTGGGGCTGCCATACATCGGYGCCACCGGACCCTCTGACCACCATCAGTAGGCAAGGTGGGTGAAGTGTCTAGCCCAAGGACACAATGACTGAGACGGCTGGACGGGGGATTGAACCAGTAGCCTTCTGGTTCCAGGACGACTCCCCTAACCACTCCGCCACAGCCGCCCCAGTAATTATGTCACACAGTAAAATAATGTTTCTACTGCAAATAGACATAGTTTATCTAATCTCAGGAGTGAAAACATATATTTTCATTGTATTTAAGAAGAGTTTAAAATGTTGTAAGTTTCACAAACAGAACAAAGAATAATTACTTTTTCTCTGTGAAGCATATATTTCTTAATTCAGTAAGAAAAAAATATTTCAGGTTAACACAACCAGCACTTTTTATTTGTTAAAACAAGAAAGAAAGAAAATCAAGTCAAATTATGCATGATTTGTATTCTAAATAGCAAAACTGACAATAACCAGGTCAAATAAAAATATTGAAATAATGTTTCCCCTATTAGTAAAAACCCTGGAATTGCAGAATTTGTTGGACTGTGTTRAGCTGCTGATGAATCTCCCATGCTTGGATTTTTATGGTCCAAACTGAGCCTGAAGATCTTAACTCCCAGGTAATCTCTGATAGTCTGGACAGATAAAAAGGCAACTTATCAACTACAACAAAAAGCATTGGCATTTGTTACAACATTCACACTGAATTATATCATTATTTGTTTTCTTCTCACAGGTGTAACAAAGATTTACCTGACTCTYTCCAGGGCTTCAGTTTGCAAATCACACAACAAACGATCAACACAATCAGAATGACACCCAGCGCAGCATACACATTGACAGAAATCCCGATGGAAACCAGGTGATTTTCTGAGGGGAGAAAGTAATCTAATTAAACATTAGACATCAAACTCAAGCTGTTGGAGGTTAAAATGTTGATGTTATGATTGTCAGTGTGGCACATTTCTCACTTGTACACAATTTATACAGTTTAATAATGGTTAAGATGTAAAAGATGAAGATAAATTAAAAGTCGCCTTGAATTTCAATGTTGAAGCTTAACATTTTCACAAACATTGGATTAGGGAGAGGAGTGAGGACCTTCAGGATATACTGACCCTTGTCATCCTTCTCTACGTCGGCGAGCTTGAGAGTCCCGTTGCTGATGGAAAATTCTGTTRTGTTTCTGCACTCCTGCCGTGTTTTCACCTCTCCACCCTTCACAATCAGCACTTTTATATCTTTTCTATGGGCATCCTTGGAGAACACCAGCACATAGCTGGTGGCGTTGTCCATCAGTTTGATGTACACAGTTCCACCAAGGAGTGCACGGTGGCGCGAAGTTATCGAAAGGGCTGACATCACAATTGGTCACAGAAACTGCAGCTAATCCTGCTGCAGAACATTAAAATAGCATCAATCACAGCACAAAATTGTTCTTTTAATCCATCTTTTTGTGATGATCTTACCGTGAGATCCTCCGGCTGCAATCACCAGAAGAAGAAAAAATCCCTCCGTACTTCTCTGTAATCTAGACTAACCTCAGAAGAAATTACAGACAAATCCAGATAAGATGCTGTCAGAAATCTGAGAAGAAGCTTAGGTCTCAGGATGTGGAAGAAACTGACTGAAAACACAGGGAGTCGGGTAGCATTTCTATAGTATTTGCAAAAAAAGGAAGTAAATTAAAATATCTGTCACTTCTCCTTGTAAACAAATATTTGGCTGCAAGGCATTAATACATGAGCTAAAGAAGAGTCTGCTCCAAATGAACAAAAGTCCTACTTCCCTCTACACGTTTGATAAACTGAATTTGTAAATAATGTGCAACTAGGATGACATTTTTCTAGAACTTTTGGCCAAGATAGCTTTGGTTTTTTAATGTACCATCCTGATTAAATAAGACCTGTTTATGGGTTCAACTCAGCCCTACTCAGGTCTAATCAGAGTTCAGATTCTTCCCATATTCGTGGTACTTCCTCAGACAAAATTCTCATTAAGTCGAGTCAAGCTGAATATTTGACATCAGCAGACTGCAGACCATTGATTAGCCAAAGAGTAGCGCCAGTCGGAAAGGCGTCTTTATTAAAAATCAAACCCATAATTTTTAAAACCCTGCAACTGCATAGCATTCAATATTGTGTCTTCCTTTTAAAATACAGTGTATATACAGTATATGGTGCTATGAAGAGGCGCAGATGTTTCTGTGGTTGTTGGCTGACAAACAAATTCAAAGAGACTCAATTTACAGACTCAGACAGACATCAACTTGAACACAGGGTTTTTGGCAGAGGATGATGAGTGATTTGTCACTTTATTTCCCTTCGTTACCCGTTGTTGCTTTGTGTTTGTCATAGATAGAACATAACTTTGTGGAAGTTTTGGGCAGCTGCGCTGTGACAACCTCACCCACATCAAAGAGGCACAACATTTGTAAAGTTGACTGTCTTATCTTTGTGTTTTCTAAAGTTGTGGCAGCCATCTTATGAAGAGTTGACTCCTGAAGTTAATTGGTTATAGACAGATGTACAGTAAATCCAACGATTACTTTCAGAGAGTTTTATTCAGATCTGTCCAGTGGTTCATGACACACTTTGCTAACAGACAGGCAAAGACAGGTGATGAGAAGATTTTCAAATACCTAAACATGTTTTCCGTTTACTAAATAGTTTTAGGTTTGTTCTAAAACTGAAACTTCCATTAAGGAAAACAGGAAGTACATTTAATATTTCAGATGATTCCTCAACTGAAAATGAACTGTTTATGTCTTACCTTTTTCTTAATTTGARGTTTGAAATGACTGTGTGGAATGAAAAAAGGTCCTAAGAACATGCAACAGTGAATTTCAGATTATTTTCCACCCCTGTCCTAGTCAAATTCACAATTTCGTAAAAACATTTTTTATTACAATAAGACAGACCTGTTTCCAAACAGAACTGATGCTGAGTAAAGTGTGAATAAAACATTAAAGACATAAAAACTAAAAATTATATGGAATAAAGATTTGTGTAAATACATGAACTGAGAAAAATGTACTTTTTTTTAAGCCCTCCTGCTGCACTTGACCTTTTTAAAAGCCCCCTGGCTTTTTTTTTCACCCTAGGACAGCAGGAGGGTTAAATATTACTGTTTACAAGGTCTCTTTTGCAAATCTCAATAAGACCCCTGGAAGAGTTGGCAGCTGAGTCTGGCCAACCTTTTTTAATGCAGATCCATATAGGACATTTTTTTTGTTTGTTTTTTGTTTTTTGTTTTGATCAGGCTTCCTTCAGACCACAGAGGGGAACAGTAAAATATATGTGAAAGTCACATTAAAGGCTGACAACCCCACATCTATAAAGCTGTCAAAAACAGGAAGCAGCAGCAGCAAGTAGTGCTGAAACATCTATAATGAAGCCAAACAGTTTTCAGTTCACGCAGGAAGTCACAGTGACTTTTACATCCTGTTAGATCTGATTCTAGTTCAGTTAAAAATCCCCCAGTTTTGTGATTTTTGTTTTTACAGATCTCTTCTTGTTTCAGTACTGACCTTTAACCTAACAACTTTCACATTACATGGATCTTATTTTCTCAGTTTGCAGCTATGAGGTCAGATTCTATATGACAGCAAACTCAACCATGTTTTACCTGTAAAACAAAATGGATCTTTAATATTGCAGAAATAAAATCAAGCACACTCTGACTCTGTAGGTTTCAATAAGACATTGTGCTGTTAAGACTGAACCAACAGATGTTAAATTAAACGAGAACCAAACTTCCCTGAGGATCTGAAGCATCTGGCTTCAAAAACTGCTCATATTTAAAAGATTATTATGTTTGTTTTGATGTGGAACCTAGAGGTGGTTTAATCTATCAACCGAGTCATGATCCAGATCAGTTTTATGTATGTCTGCCTCAAGATTCATCAACCACATTTTGCATGTAGGTTCATGTAAATGCTGAATTTTCCTATTGTTTAGATTTGTTGTATATGGCCACCTCATTATTTCTGTATTAAGTTTAATCTTGTATCTTGAATATTTCATGCTGTCTCTCCACATCTGGAACATTTCCTAATTTCTGCTGCTTAAAATCACACCATCCTTTTTTTCTAAACTTTTCCTAAGATGGAACTGGTCTAATAAAATACAAAATCTGTTTACAAAAAATTATAACAAATGTTAAATTATCAATATGCAGGACTTTTTGGTTTCTTTCTTTAAAGCTTTTTCTAATTTATTTGTACATGTGGTATAGTTCAGTGTGTCCAACCCTGGTCTTCGAGGGCTGCTGTCCTGCATTTTATTTATTTATTTATTTATTTATTTATTTATTTATTATTTTTGCCTGCACCAGGATAAGTGGAGTTCTTCGTGTGGGTGGAGTTTGTCCTAGCTGTGATTGGCAGAGTTTATAATGTAGGCGGAGGTTCTTGGGTCGGTGGAGTTAAAGGCAAAACTGTGATTGGTTGAAATGACTTATCTTGTGGCGCAAGTGAAAAGGAATGGTTAATAGTAAAAGGATCATGAACATGCAAATATAATTTATTCACAATGTATTTATAGTTTAAAACAAAACAATGTCTCAAATCAAAATTATTGTGTAATGTAATCATGTAATCATAATTTACTGACTTCACCTTCTTGTCTGGAGTTATTAAAATTAATATTTATATTTAAAAATATACAGTAGTTGCTCTCTGGGCATTTTGACCAAGCTACGTGCCTCCCAAGCGGCCCCGGGTTCTTCAAACCTAAGCTAAAATGGTCAATCTGACCAGTCACGTCTTTAATAAACTCCTCCCACAAAAATCAAACAGACCAATTATGTCTTGACAAACTCCTCCCACAAAACAAGAAACTAGTGACTGCAGAGATCCCCTTCTCATTCATGTGACTGAATTACCTCTTTACGTTCTGCAAAACTCATTCATACAAATCAGGTGCGTTGGAGCAGAGAAACCTTTAAAGCTTGCAAGATAGTGGGTCCAGCAGACCACGGTGGTCTTTGAGGACCAGCGTTGGAAACCTCTGGTGTCTATTCTCAGTCATTAAGCAAAACAAAGCAACAATCACAAAAAAAGGGATTCATTTTTACTAACGCAAGGAATGCTACACTCTCCATTTGTTGAATTGATGAAGTTCACTTGACTGAAAGCAAAAACATATTTGACCAACAGAATGGAAGTCCAGTTGCTTTGTTTTTAGAACACACAAATTTAAATAAATGGGTGGAAAAAAGGATTCAGTCAACATAAAGTTATGTTGGGTTTTTTAAAAATCAGTTCTCATTAAAGTTAGCAATTACTCACAGCCACAGTTCGAGAACTGCAGCTCCGTTTCACTGAAACCTTTTTTTTAATCATCAAAACATCACAGAATTAACTGCAGTGTAAAGATTTTAATTGTGTTGTTTTTTATATTCTGTTAGACATCAACCTGGAGTTGAGGTGCCTAAAAACTGACCAGTTTTTTGACTGTTTAAATGTTTTCTTCAATTTCTTGTTCTTTTTCAGATAAACACTCTCCCAGTTGTCTTCCTCCTCATCTCCCAYCCAGGGGCCCCAGGCCCCTTCGTTCAGCTGAGGGTGGGCCCGTGGGTCCTCTGATGGGAACCGTACTGGTACTGCAGTGCGGTTGTAGTACACCAGTCTGGCCAAGAGCTGTTTCACAACGTCTGGTCTCTGCTCGGATAGATCAAAGCGTTCATAGGGGTCGCTGGAGATGTTGAAGAGCCACACTGATTTTCGGGGTTTAATGTGGCGCTCCAGGCTCCACCAGCTGTTGGGGAAACCTGGAAGGATCTGCGGTGGGATCCAGTCTCCATAACCAGGGTCTCCTGTCAGGAGTTTCCAGTCTCCTGCTCGTATGGAGGCCTGGATAGCCGTATTCCAAATCCCAAATCCTTTTTGCAGGGAGCCTCTGCGAGCATGGTTGTACAACGGGTCGATGTTGTGGAGGATCTCTAATCTGGGCGACTCTTTGCCTTCGCTGATTGCCTTCCAGACGTTATACCCATCGAGCCCCTCAGTCAGAGACTCATCGCCGCCCGCTAATCCCACCAGTGTGGGATACCAGTCAGTGATGTGCACCAAAGCTTTACTCACCCTCCTCTTCCTTTGTAACAACGGGCTGTGGACAAACCCCAGACCTCGGACACCCCCTTCCCAGTAGGTGCCTTTACGCCCTCTAAGAGGCCAGTTATTGCCGCCAGACAGAGGCTGGCCACCATTATCAGTGGAGAAAATCAGGACGCTGTTCTCATAGTATCCATACTTACGCAGAGCGTATGTTATATTTCGAACAGCTTCATCTACAGTTGAGACCATGGCAGCATACCTCCTCCGTGCCACATTTTCCAGCTCACGGTACGGGGAGACATACTCCTGCGGAGACTGTAAAGGTGAGTGAACAGCTTGAAACGAGAGAAATATGAAGAGTGGCTCAAGCAGTGGATTGTGGGTCGCCAGAATTTTGCGGACCCTCCGTGTGTACAGATGCGTGGAGTATTTGCCCTTCTGATCCCAAGCGACAGACTCCCCCTCATGGAGGTCGTAGCCACAGAGCCCGGGGCCGTCACAAGAGTTATAGGTGTAGTAGTCCACGCTGCCAGTCAGGGAGCCGAAGTATGTGTCAAAGCCACGGCGAGTGGGTAAACACTCCTTCTTGTAGAAGCCCAGGTGCCACTTGCCCACCATGTGGGTGGAGTAGCCGAGCTCCTGAAGCCTCTGAGGGAGAGTGACCTGGTTAAAGGGCAGGCAGTTGGGCTGGCGGGGGTGGATGATGGAGTGCTGGAGACCGGTGTGAATTTGGTACCTGCAGGTTTGGAACACAACCAAGGTGAGGAACCAAGGTGAAGAAAAAAGTTATGAAACAGATCAAACAATTAGACCCAAACGTGAGAATCTGATATCAAGAAAAAGACTGAGGAGGTGGAGCATGAATTATTTTCTTGAAGATTGTGAATGTGAAGATAAAGAATGAGGGGAAACATCTGATTTAAAGTTTTATAATGTTTCCCTCAATCCCTTTTAAATGTTAAACCTTAAATGTTGGGAAATTTACAGAAAAATGGATAAAGCATTGGGAATACATTTGTCAGGTTGTCAAGCTGGTCTTGTCCCCATGCACTCTTTTAACACACTGACCTCCTCATAATTGGCTTTGATTCACAAAGGTGATTTATGTGTACTCTTAAAGTCTACTAAAATTTAATCTCTTTAAGAAACCCTGGTGCACACCTGGACTTTATGTTGTTTATACAGTTGTCATATGTCAGTAGTCCGCTCTGTGGTCTTTTGGTTCAGACAAAACATGCAGTCCTTCATTATCTGCAATCTGTATTTGATTACGGTAGTGTTTTAGAGTTTATCTCAAACTTTTATCATTCTTATAGAATACCATCAAACTGCAGCAGAACTACTGATTTTCTTCAGTTTACAGAGTCATGTAACATTATATATATAT